AAACACGCTTCAGCGTCAACCATTTTTCTCTATTATATTATAATATTATTCTGTAGTAGTATTTATTATGGTCTAATATATATTTCAGTACATTTTTATATCGTTCGTATTGTGATAATAAGGACGTCCAGAGAGAGTCTTGGACCTGTAGTGATCTTTCTGGCGGCAGCGTGGATGGTGAAGGCGTCTTTTCTACGGACAGCAGACTCAGTGGGTTCTGGGGATTAGGGCTCCATCGTTCAGCGGAATGGTGCCATGATGTGCTGCAATGACACCAGGCGCCTGGCAGGGGGGCCGATTGGGGGCTGTGGGGCGGGTTCACCCTCAGGTTAAGCTCCCCGCTCCACAGGAAGAGGCCGATCGATGCCCTTTTTTGGTACTCATCCATTTATTCAGCTGGACTACGGAGAAGGACCGGCACCAAGCACAGTTGGCATGCAAGCAAAATACAATTAGTACTGCATTAATATGATTTATATCAGCAGCTTTCGACAGGTGTGTGTGTGTGTTTGTGGTCTTAATTGTTCCACACAAAAAATATGTCGCCGCTGGGATGAAATGGAAAGATATTTTCTCTGCATTGTATTTAGAGTAGAATGTTCACAGTGGGTAAGCCTTTTATTTCCCGTTTTATCATTTCCCTACTTCTTAGGGTGCCGAGGTTGTTCCGCCTTGCTGGTGTAGTGATACATCATATACGTCGGCCCCCCCGTCTTTCTCCGCCGGTGTTATCTAACATGCAGTAGGTGCTTCTGTCCTCTGGGTGACAGCACTCGCATATCTTCTATTCAGCGGCGCGGAGTAATCACCCGGTTCGTGCAGTGCTCTCGTCTCCCCCTTTATTAGGTTTCTTCCCGCTCCTCTGTTGCGTCCCCACAATGGGTGTCAACTCCACCATCATATTTAAGCCATCCTCTCTCCATAGCAGTTGGCACACACACACACACACACACACACCGTGACACACACACACACACACACACCATGACACACACACACACACACACACCATGACACACACACACACCATGACACACACACACACACACACACACACACACCATGACACAATGACATTATGAACAACTGCCTTCTTTTCGGGTAAGAAGTGTGAGTCCATCAAGTTATTAAGTATTAGTGGAGGCATTTGGTTTAGGGTTATGTTTAAAGGAAGCATGTGAGGGATACACAACTATGTGTGTGTGGTTCAGTGTGTGTGTGTGTGTGTGTGTGTCTGGGTGGTTCAGTGTGTGTGTGTGTCTGGGTGGTTCAGTGTGTGTGTGTGTGTGTGTGTGTGGGGGGGGGGGTGTTTGTGTGTCTGGGTGGTTCAGTGTGTGTGTGTGTGCGTGTGCGTGTTGAAGTCTGGAGATGCCCACCCAGTGGCCAGCGCTCCCAGTGAAGGTGCCCTTCTGAAAGTTGATTCCGCCCACATGCAAAGTGGCCACATTACACACGCGTGTAACACGTGCGCGGAGACATTGGAATGTGCGTGTCGTGCTCTGGAGAAGCTGAAGGTCACAGTAGAGCGGCTGAGTTTTGGGATTCTACCTGTGCAGGTGGAATCAGGCCGCTGGCAGCGTTGATCCGACTCCCTAAATCACACAGATGTAATGTGACAACGCACCACGCCGTCTGCCTATTGGGCCCAAGCGCCTGTCATTTAGTCTTTGTCTCTGTCCAACAACGAATGGATCTGTAAATGGACAGAGGGAGATGCTTTGCTTCAAACTGCAGTTAGTCTCCATCTATATTCATAAAGCATACTTGTTGCCAATGAACAGGATGGAGCTGAAGGTCACCCGGCAGCACTACTGTGGCAGTAATAGGGATGATGGACTCGGGGTCACAATGGAGCGGCGGTTCCACGTCGGCCGCATGGGAGGTGGTGTGGAAGGGGGGTGGAGGAGGGACGGGCTGTTCTATTGCTAATAGCTGTGTACACCACGTCCTCCATTAGGGACATTTCTGGAACCAAATTGTTTATGCACAACTCAATGCACATGGCCTGATATTCAATAACAACCCTTTGAGCACAGAGGTGGGGGCCAGCGGGGCGAGAGAACAGCCAAGCACCACCACATACAGCAGAATGGGATGTAGGAGGACCTTCATCCAAGGTCCACATCTGTATTACACACAGTGAGAGATGTGGAACACTGATGGCTCAACACGAAGGTCCAGATGCTGACAGATGTTCACTGTCTACGCTGCACACAAAGAACACGTTTCCAATGATGCCATGAGAACATTATTAAGAAGAGCCGGAGGGACGTCTTTGTGAACGCTCTCAAGAAACCTTTTTCATACACGTATTTGTTGGCTGGTGACTCAAACGATGAAACCACACGGCTCAAGCGGTACACTGCCAGTATCTGTTTCTGCGTGTTTTAAGTTCATCACTTAAGTACAAGTACACACTGTGAAAAGGGCGGCATCTGCCGTGAGCTCACAACTCCCTCCTCTATTAACATTCAAAATGACGGCGACAACTCGTACGTCTGGTGACTTGCAGGAACGTGAGCAACCTTCGACAGACAGATTTACACTTGATAACATGTGCCTCCATATTGAATAAATAACACATTAAGCCTCACGTTGATCCAGATTACATTTACCCATATGGTGAAACACCACAGAGGAGTCCATCAGCCATCATTCCACCGTCCCTGGAGCGCCACACCGGCAGGCGGGTAAAGTTTGTCCTGAGGAGCGCTGAAGGTTATTACAATCGTAATGGTTTGTCCTGCTGGGAGCATGAATTTGTTGTAGCAATCCGTCTATTCGACTGACAGACATCAAGGTCAGAAATGATTTTCATTTTGACCAATTGCTGCATACTAACATGTACAAATACTAACAAAAACCTGTCCACTAAAACCTCTCAACCCGACCTCTGCCCCATGGCAGCCCTCAGTATCTACCTCCACTCAGCTTGTTGCCAAATCCGTCTCCGCATTACGACACTCGTTCACGAGGTTCCCCTCCGACCGGTTTCTCGGGGATAAGATGTTCACAGCAGGAACCCACCTGGTGTGAACATCTCCATTACACCATGCAGGCGTCTCAGGAGCTGATGGCAGCGTTGTGTCTTTAGAGCAGGGCCCTGCGCCGCGCACGTGCTTCCACCAAGTCCATCAAATGTCAATCGGTCAGGTCAAATTAACCCCATGGATGAAATCCTCTCGGTTCCCCAAAGGCTGATCCCAACTGCCTTGTTAGTTCGGACCAGACGTCATCAGGATAATCGCTCGTATGCGTCCGACTCCAAAAGGGGAAGAGTCCAACGGTTCAACGGCAAATAAACTACAAGGAAGAGCCTTTTTTTCTCATCTATATGAGGAGTTCAAGACCATGATATGTACATTTAATTCATTTCTGTTGTATGAACTGATGTCCACAGTCTGTCCATCCCGGGGGGGGATCCTCCTCTGTCGGCCTCCCTGAGGTTTCTCCCCTTTATTCTCCCTATCAAAGGCTTTTTCCTTTTGGGGGGAGGTGTGAGGGTCAGGGAACACGCTGCGAGGGAATAACGCGTGTGTTGGGGAATGTTAAGTGCCTCGTCACTAATCAATCAGATTGTATTTCTTCAGATGTGCCTGCTGGCAGAAGGCTTCATGATATGCATCATCATCCAATGAGATCTTATATAATAATGAAATGCATTTTCATCAAATGGTGAAATGTTGGTAATTTTTTTAGATATTACTATATTGAGGTCAATTACCTGTAACTCCATAACAGCCCTCTCGGGTGGCAGTTACTCGGACACGGCCAGGGGCTGTAATGAACATGTCCGTACCTTTCTTTACTAACAGCCCGGCATGCAGCGGCTTCATAAGGCGGTCTGTGCACACGAATAAACGGCCCCTTGTCGGCATCATCGCTCGTGTGACGCCGTCTAGGCGATCAGGAGACCTGACTGATCTTATCCTGGAAGTGATCGGGGAACGGGGCCCTGCTTGGCCATCCAGAGGGCTGCTGCTGTTCGGGTGGGGGGGTTGGGCCTCCAGTCAGTGCTGCCCATCCCAATTTGTCACAAGCTTACACTCGCGTGCTGAATGAAGAGTTGTTAACTGTGTTCTCGTCTCAACTCATTTCTCAAATGAAATAACTCACACTTTTTTCAATCTGTAGTTTAACTCCCAGTGACATTGAGCCCTTTCACTCTTGAGGGTGTTGCATGTCTGACCCTTCATCCCCCTCGTCCCGCGCCCCCCAGCCCCAAATAAAAGGACTTGAGAGTAATTAAGAAGGTGTGCGTGTGTGCATGCGTGGGGGCAAAAGGGCCTCTGTTTTCATTAAACATTCATGACGGAGAGAGCGTCTCTCTACCTGCTCTTCATGTCGGCACACAGGCATTCTCCCCCCTGCTACATCACTTTATGTTTCTGTTATTTCAATTCATATAATACATTCACACTGCACAATTTTAGTATACAAAATAACATGTTTTATTCATGTTTGCATTATTTATCCTTTGTGAAATTGAAAGAGCCCAAAACCATCAGCAGGTTTGAAATTCTAAAAACACACTGCAAATAAATACGTTTCAACGATCTACATTTGACAACAATCAGAATTTCTATTCGGTCCGAACGATCTTCGTGATGCTTGTTTAAGGGATAAGAAAACCCCCACATGCATTCTATCTAATGACCAGCAGGGGGCGACTCCTCTGGTCCTGTAGAAGTCTATGAGAAAATGAAATTAAGCCATTGTAAACACGAGCTAGCTAATGATTGACGTTCACCTGAACCTGAACCCCGTCAGGGGGCTTTTATTTTGGTGACCCACAAACATTGACCTGTGTCACTTTTTCTGGTCACTTCGTCTTGTAAAGATGGCGACGGCCAAAATGTCAAGCTTGAGGCTTTGAAACAGAAGTCTTCAAACCGATGGGCAGTTGTTGTGTGAACCAAGATGTCCCACGTGAAACTATATTTCTGTCCACGCACCCGTGATTCTGTGACATTGTGCTGAGACCCTCTGTTTGTCTGCAGGGGGCTGGAGTGTGTGGGGTCAGTGGGCGCAGTGCAGCAGCCAGTGCGGAGGAGGGATTCAAACCCGCACCCGGACATGCCAGTCGCCGGCGGAGGAGTCGTACGTGTGTGAGGGGGTGTTGGAGGAGGGCCGGCCCTGCAACTCCCAGCCCTGCAACACCGGTGAGCTCGTCCGTCTCCGCCTGCTGACGCCGGGACGTGGTTTAATATGAGCAGCAGCTGTTTGTTAAATAGTTTTTGCTTTTCACGCGTTTTTCATCTGCTTGTGTGTCCATCCTCTGTAAGTCAGTGGTTTGACTTAAGGAGTGCATGTTGGAAGGGGACTTTGATCGATGAGACATAATAATAAAAAGGACACAGGAATGTTCCATAAAGGTTATTGACCAAGTAGCTGACTCCTTTGTTTAGCTAGCAGTCAAACGGTACACTGTCATGTGTTTGTGTGTTTCTTCATGACCTACAACAAATAAAACTACACAACAGATCCACAGCACATTAACACAGGCGGCACTACAAAAGTCCCAAGTTTGGCTGATGCTGTTCTGGGCGACCAATCGCGTCACGGTTGTGTCCCCAACATGAGCCATTCATGAAGGACCTCTGGTTGCTAACCCCCCGACCCTCCCCCCCGGCCTTGCCTCACCCCCTTTAGGCAACGGTCGCCATCTCTCCCGCAGCCAATCGCTTCGCTCAGTGGACAGCCGCAAGCGTGAGGACGTAGACAAGGCGCGCAGTGGACCGCAGAGCCCTCAGACAGGTAAGACAACGGGACGCAGAGGGAGCCCATGCATCAGTCACTGTGGCAGCTTGGGTGACCACCGCTACACTCACAGCGCACAACACTAAACCGCACAGTCGCAATCATGCACACATCTATCAACATCTGTCAAAGTGGTGACTAATTCCAACATGGACCCTGACTGAAGTGAAGTTGTCTATGAGATCGTACCAGGCCACGGTGTCCTGTCTGTAAAACAATAAGACAAATGGAGTCCTCCCTCTCTGTTAAAGTGATACTCCACCTGAACGCAGCAGTAAGTCCTCTGAAGGAAGGAGCAAGGATTCAGCTTGTACAAAAAGCTGTTGTTTGAAAACAGATTTTTCCTTTGAGTGAAGGTTTTCTTTCGCAGAAAATGATTTGCTCCCAAAAGTGTGCAGCCTTCTCCCAGTGCAAGGTCTCATCCTGCTTCTGTTGGCTAAGCTGCTCCACTAAGACCTTTGCAACGGGTGTCAGCCAGCAACCCAGTGCATATACGCAGTATACAGGTGTGTATATGTGTGTGTGCTCATTTGTCACAGTTAGTTACCAAAGCAACGTTTAAGGCAGGCCGGAGGTTTTCCGACACATAATGAGGCTAATTGTGTCCCGAACCCAGTTTGGTACTTAATGCACCGGCAAGTGGTGGCAAACTTATCAATGAACTCAGGCAAAGAACGCAAATCTGCACTCTGTTGCCGTATACGGGTGGACCGAGAAAACGGTGACTACGTTGCTAGAGCAGCTGTTATGGATATTTTGACCTTTGAAGAACAAGTCCATGGTGACATTGTGACAGGCATGGAGGCTGACCGCACACTTCACATACAAACCGTCAGGCCTACAGGGTGCTGAGACCTGATTCAAAGAGAGACTTCTTGAGTGGAGCATCACTTTAATTTGCTAATCGATTCCCCACCTCCTGTTTAGTCCTCTTCTCCCTGCTTCCCTCCGGCTGTGACTGCCCAATTTCCCCTTGTTATGGGTCGAGTGACCCATCCAATCGGCAGTCATGGCCATTGAAGACATCACTGATATATCCTGAGCCAGTGGCATTGACTTCTCCTGGAAGTGAATGCAAGGGATATGACGTCACACCCACACAGATGGAGGACGAGCTGAACAGAAGCTGGGGTCCGTTTCAGGGGCCGCCTCCCCTGACCTGCTGCTCTCTTTACAGTCAGCCGTGCACAGGATGTGTGCCTCATTGCCAGTTTAAGTGAGCAGCGCGCAGTGGTTTGGAATACTGAGGCCCGTTAAGGAGCACCAGTATTGGGCGGGTGTCATCCACCTGCCACATTTGGACATGGGACAGCCTCATCCACCCGATTGGATATATAAGAGGAGACGGCCCCTAAAATGTGCTGATCACGGCTAGCATCCACCCCTTATCACACCACGCCCCTTCCTCTTCTGCCCACAGAGGCTGCATCCTGCATGGTAATTAGTTATGGCCCTCTCCTTTTCCCTTCTCCCTCTCTTTTCTCCCTCCCACCTTCCTGTCCTTTACCCACCCCACCCTCCTCAGTAGACTCAGCTTCAGGTGAGGAGTGGTCAGCGTGGAGTGTGTGTTCTGCCACGTGTGGGGAGGGCTGGCAGAGTCGCACTCGTTTCTGTGTGTCCTCCTCCTACAGCACCCAGTGTAGTGGGCCACTGCGCGAGCAGAGACCTTGCAACAACTCTGCCGTTTGTCCAGGTAAGCCCCCCCCCTGCGCTCGCCCAGCCCTCTCCTGGACCCTGCCTCACCCATGTACGACCCACCTGCTCCCCTGCTCAGGCACTTAGCAAACCCTTGAGCGCCCCTAAGTTGATTTCTGCCCCCCCCTCCCTTTTGCCTGCTATTCCTCCCACTACCAAGGGGCTGTCAGGCTCCCCTACATGCAGACAGGCAGGGGGACTCCTCCACTTAGAAGGGGGGCCCAGTAGAGCTCAGCAGCGAGGCTGTCGGTAACGTTCTGCCCTGTTAATGGCGCCGGCTGTCCGTCTTTAAATCCTACCCTAGCTGCTCTGCTTGCAGTGCACGGCGCTTGGGACGAGTGGTCGCCATGGAGCCTGTGTTCGTCGACCTGTGGCCGAGGTTTCAGGGCCCGAACAAGAACCTGCGCTCCCCCACAGTTTGGGGGAGATGCCTGCGACGGCCCAGCGCAACAGACCAAATTCTGCAACATAGCTGTGTGTCCAGGTAAGGAACACGTTCATGACATTAAAAAGAAGTCAAACGGGGCAAATAACGTGATCCTCCCCGTGTTTATCAGGGTCTTAATCCTAAAAGCAGAACATGTTCCGAGGATCTGATAGCAGACACCACCCACTGATTGGGCCGCGCTTTTCAAGCCATGAATTCGACATCTTGTTCAAACCAGAAGTGACACAAGACGGTTGAGCGTAATACAACCGACCGCTGAAAAGCTGCTCAAATTCAGTGGAAGAGGAGAGCGCACAGCGCCGTGGTGGCGACCATCACTCTTCCATAGTCTTATTTGTGCAGCCCTGTACATCACTTCCCCCGACAATGGCACGCTGAGGTTTCTCTATATCGCACGTATAGAACGCATATATAGATCTATAGATATGCACCTGATGCACCACGTGTCTATTGTGCTTGCCTGTCTGACCCTTCTCAGTGGATGGCGTGTGGAACGAGTGGTCCGGCTGGAGCTCCTGCTCCGCCTCCTGCTCCAACGGGACCACGCAGAGAACCAGGGAGTGTAACGGCCCCTCGTACGGAGGCTCCGAGTGCAGGGGGGAGTGGCTGGAGACGGTGGACTGCTTCCTCGGGGAGTGTCCGGGTATGAAAGAATGTACATGATTGGTTACAAAGGAGGATTTCATCTTCATCTTCAGGGGGGTGTTGGGATCGGGGGAGTCGGTTTGTCACTAAATACTTGAAATGATAAAGGAACAAAGCAGGCTGCAGGATGACATTTCCACGGGCTGTTCAGACCATTTAAAGATCCGCTAACGCTCCGTCCCTCTATGCGCTCTGTCAGTGGAGGGCAAGTGGCAGCCGTGGTCGCTGTGGTCTGGCTGCTCTAAAACCTGCGGCGGGGGGAGCCAGCAGAGGAACAGGATTTGTTACGGGCCCTTCTTTGGAGGCCAGGCCTGTCCTGGAGAGCGAGAGGAGGTCCGCAGCTGTAATGAAAAGAGATGCCCAGGTGAGTGGACGGGATGAAGACGGGGACGGATCGTACATGATTACACGTTAGATCTGCTCTCCCTCTGCCAACAGAACCTCATGAAATATGCGGCGAGGACAACTTCTCCAACGTGGTGTGGAAGATGACTCCAGCGGGGGACACAGCTGCCGTGCGCTGCCCTCCCAACGCCGTGGGTGAGCTCACAGCTCAGTGCCTGTGACGCAGGTTGTCGGATCAGACGCCCGTTGGTGATGTGGGTCCCATATGTGCTCTCACAGGGCTCATTCTGCGCCGCTGCACCCTGGATGAAGAGGGCCTCGCCTACTGGGAGAATCCCACCTACATGAAGTGCATCTCCAACGACTATCGTAGTATACAAACCTCGGTGAGCAATCGAGACATTTATTTTGGTTTCACACGCCTGGTATCGAAACATTTTAAGCAGTTTCAGGATATTGAGTTGAAAGCGAACTGAAAACCCTTTCGCCCACTAGACCCGGGAGCACCTGTCCAAAGCCCAGCGTGGCCTGGTGGGAGATGGCGTTTCAGACGTGATGAACAAGCTGAAGGTGACATCCAGCGACGGGACCAGCTACAGCGGGGATCTCCTGGCCATCGTGGACGTGCTGAAGAACATGACGGAGATCTTCAGGAGGGCCTACTACAGTCCCAGCAGTGCCGACATGAGGGTGAGGGGCTGCATTGCATTACTGCTCGTCTGATGCTCTTTTCTACAATGGGGCATCAGAGCCCTGCTCTCATGTCACATGCTCCGTTCTTTGACGTGTGAAGTGAACATATGACATGAGATCAGCAGGGGTTTGTATCACGAGGTGTAAAACGGGCAGTTTGAGGCACTAAAAGCCTTTTAGAAAAGGGCACGACTCCAAAAGCCCTTTACAGGAACTACCCGAGAATAATAACTTAGTACACTGTGAAAATATGACGGGTTTTCTGACTGTTTTCAGGCACATTAAACACGTGTTTTAATGGAGCTCCACGGCTCAGTGGAATAAAACACGCACAAACAGAGAGCTTCATTCTGTAACCACCTTCATCTTCTCTTTGTCTTTCAGAACTTTGTGCAGTCAGTCAGCAATCTGCTGATGGAGGAGAACCGGGAGAGATGGGAGGAAGCCCAACTGGTTGGTTTGGCCCTTTCTGGCATTTACATGTCACCTCGTCTGTAATTACATAGTAGAGAAATAATGACGGGCCTGGTGCTGCAGAATTGAGGCGTTGGATGCTGTGACAAAGACCCAGGTGGAGCCACCGCCCCTCTCCAGGCGGACAGAAATATCTACTGCTAACGAGCAAGCGAGCGCAGGCACTCGCCCACTCGTCCATCTGCCGCACTCGCCTTCGCTTCCATTCAGCCGCCCAGCTGCCCGCAAACGAGGCAACCTGAGAAGGAGGGGGCGCTTTGTGTGCCCTCCACTATGAGGGGATCACAACACCCCCTCTGACATTGCCTTCTACACCAGAGGGAACACCAGCTAAAGGAAGAATGGCGTTATTTCCATGTCTACGACCGTGAGCTGCCCCCCCCTAATTACCACTGGAAGCCAGCAGATGGAAATAAGAGCGCCTGGAAGTCGGGACACACATTCAGTGATCTTCAAACACTTCAAAAAGTTAGGGATGTTACAATATCACAATTGTAGTAAAACAATGACGTTGGGATCCCCGGCGATGGAGTTTGAATGGAGCTTGGCCCCGCCCACATTTCAGTGAATAGATGTCACTCAATGCACATAATAACTGAACCTGAACCTGAACCTTTCCCCTCTTACATAACCCTGTCCTTGGGGGGGGGGCACACAGTCTTTGGGTGCACCATGTGCTGCTCATTCCTCTCAGAGCGCATCCCCACAGTTTGAAAAGGACACAGTTCATTTCTTCCACTGCCGGCATCCAAATGAAGAGTTGGCTGCGGCGCACTAAATGAAATATTAATGTTGGCCATAGCTGTGCAGAGCAGGAGAAATGGTGGCACTAGACTGGTACGACGGTGTGTGTGTGTGTGTTGCTATCAGTATTATCCGTAATCCTTCTTGCTCATTCTACTTTCATGTGTCTGTTCTCCTCAGCTGGGCCCGAACATCAAAGAGCTGTTCCGTCTGTTGGAGGACTTTGTGGATGTCATCGGCCTGAGGATGAAAGACTTTCAGGACATGTATGAAGTCACCGATAACCTAGGTCAGCCCTATCTCCATCCACGGCATCTCCACAGCCATCTCTGCTCATCCACACAAATACTCTTTGTATTTCTCTGAAGAGGAATCTTCATATCTCCAATAGCAACGCCTAAAAGGGAGGAGGGGGCGAGGTGACCGACAGCCATCCAGCTAGGCCTCCACGTCCCCATTCTTCTTATCCGCTTGTCACAAATACAGCATATGAACACCGGCGTGTGTGTGTGCTGATAAGTAAGAGCACATTATACAAAGTTAAAGAAATGACAGAGATGTTCACGGTCAAGTGGAAATAATATCACCATTGCATTGTTTCTGCCCGAGAGCATTAAAGACGGCGTCTTTGGGTCTTCATCCTCCAGCGCACATCGCAGCATTGCTGCCTTTTTTCTTCTTTAAAGGAGTTGTAGCGGTAAAAGGCGGCTCCAGTTCCTCTGAAGGCGGTGAGACAGGTCTCAGTCTGAGGACATAGAGGACATGTCCCAACCCACAACCTCATTGTTACCCACACTCACCTTTCTTATCACAATTTGATGTATTTGTGTTTTATTCCCAGGATTATTTTCTGCTGGTCGAGTCACATTAACTGTAAACCATGTGACTTACTTTGCCTTAGTGACGACACATACGTTTCATGCTGTGTTCTGGTAAACAATGATAATGTCAGTTACACGCACATTCCCAAACCAGCAACTTTCACCTCGCGGGCCGATGGGTCCTGTGTGATGACGCATGCTGTCCTAAACATATAAGTTGTTCAACATGTCCACATAGATTTGTTGAACCTTTCAAATGTTTGCTATTTGACATCTCTAGGTTGTTTGGTAAACCTCAAGCTACCGGCTTCTGCTTTGACAATGTCTGGACTTCAACTGGGTGCCGCTTTGGGTCCCGCTTTGGGTGCCAGTTTGAGTCCTGCTCTGGGTCCCACTTTGGGTCATATGTCCTTAGTTAGTTCAACCCTTTTAGGCATGGCGCGGTCTCTAAGGCCTTCTTTTTCTGCATCCAGTCCGAGACAACACACCCACGGTGATTATTGGCCCCTCCAGGGGGCCCGATGTCTCCTTCCATTGCCCAGTGACTTTAAAAGCTTTAGTCTTCACAGAGACTCTGATCCCGTGACCTCCAGAGGAAAGCGACGCAGAGCAGAGTTCTGTGAGTTGGGGCCGGGTGAGCGGTCCTGTTTAAAGCGGTGCCACCTGGCTGTTTGGAGCCAAACGGCAGCAGCGTGGCTCCCTGTGGGCGGCTGACCTCCTCTTCCCTCCCACATCCGCCAACCTATACTCAGATCACATCTTCTTCCTCCAGACTTGTCAAAGTAGTCTGACGGAATACACCCTCATGCTCAAAAGTCGCTTTATATTTTGACCATTTCACTTTTTGTTGTTTTTTCAATTCAAACATAACATCGTCTTTTCAGATGTGTTGCTTCTCTTTTGTCATCAACACACCTGCTCCATTGTCATCTTTGTCGCTCACATGCTATTCACTCAAACAGAACAATCTCTCAATACTAAAACCACTTTCACATTTTGTGGTAGTGATTTCTGACATTTAAGGCTGGAACAGGGCAACTGTCCTGGGACCCCCGATCTCCATGGTCCCCCACAGCCCCAGGCGCTATGGTGTCAGCTGGTTTACACTGATTTAATTGTTATGCACAATTTAGATTGTAAAATATATTATTAATATAAATATGCTGTCTGACCTGGAGGCCTCCAGAAGAGTGAAGGTCCAGTTCTATGCCTACATTTAGTGCACAGCCGATCACAGATGAAGGAACAATAGGCCACCGAAACAAATCCTAAGCAAGTCGGCCGAGGAAAATCCATGCGTCACAAACAAAGAACACAGGCGCCAACACTGACACAGGAGCCAATTCACTAATAAGGCACAGGTATGGCAGGACAGAGGTGGGAAAAAGCAGGTTCAATGCCCCAAAAAATGCTTTTCTAAAAAAGATGAAGAGATTTTCAGGTTTTCTACACTAAGTACGACAGCAGAAACCCAACTGCATTTTGAAGCTTCCAAGGGGTAAAAACCCCATCATGTGGTTGGGTGAACCAGTGGCACGCTGTGGCCAGGACGATTCAAATGTCCATTAACTGGGACGGGTTCACGTGTTTCCGGCCAGCCACTTTAGACCCGACAGGAAAACGCACATCTTTACTGCTCCCTGATGCCCATGAATGGTAGCAAGACGCTGCCTTAGGGAGTACACTTCCCTGGCTGTTGGAGGGTGGGTAAGGTGGGATATTGCAAATATGGGTACCTTCAGTCGCGCTGTTTTCTATGTTACAGTTTTGAGCGTCCACAAGCGTCCGGTGGTGGGGCACGCAGACATCAGCTTCCCCATGAAGGGCTGGAGGGGCATGGTGGACTGGGCCCGCAGCTCCGAGGACAGAGTCACCATCCCCAAGAACATCCTGTCAACTGGCAAGCCAGGTAAGAGCTGTGGCTCGTCCCACGTGTCCCTCCCACTGAGACACAACCCAACAGCTGAGCCTGTTGGCATCCATGTAACAACTGACAAAAATAACGAGTCTCCTGGATTATTAATGAACGTGTCTTTTGATAGCATACTGATCACAGCCTTCTGGTTCTGGATTCAAAGTGTGTGCACTTGAACGTGTGTGTGTGTTAGTTTGGGAGGGAGCAGTCAACAGATAGGAGCAGGAATAGTGTACAGGAGTTGCTGCATATAATGTTGAGAATAAAACAAGCAGCAGAAAAATGTCATTTTTTTTATCCGCCAGTGTTCAGCAGCTGCGCAACTAAAAAGTGCACGTGGTCTTCCATTGTTAATGCAATGCCCATCTGCCTTATTAATGCAGGCGCTGGATTGCAAAAGGGAGCATTTCCATGCTTATGTTCATAAAACCGATACGGGCCGAGGATGACGAGAAGGCTTCTCAGGGAAACCCAGTTCAAGTCTGACGATTTACTGCTCACCATTTTGTGTCGTTGGAATGAATATATGGGATTTCTTTTGTCACCCTCTGGAAACCATTGTGCTTCGTTGATCCTTAAAAAAAGCTCAGCAGAACGTTTGGGAGTGAGACAACTCAACTCAATTTAAATACATGCATACTTCATATCAGAGGCCAGATATTGTATCTAGTACAGGGGTGCTCACACCTTTTTTTTTTCAACTAACCCGTTGAACCCGGGGGGGGGAACCGGTGGCAGTGCATAACGAGTTGATATGAAGAGATGAACAACGAGCCTCTCATCTGTCAGAAGGACGGAACCACATTCCACCAGCTCTTCCTGGGCAGCCCAGTATACATGGTGTAGTCCCTCCATAGTGTCTGCCCTAGGGTCTCGTCCCATGTGGACAGGCCTGGGACCGTTCCAACGGGACGGGGTGCATGACGCGTCCTTTCCAGAGGCCCAGAGAGGCTCTCGCGATGAGATCAGCCTCGCTGAAGAACTCATTTCAGCCACTCGTTTTCAAAGCACCATTTCAATCGCTCTTGAAAGCTTGTGGCCGTGGGCGAGGGTGGGAATTTAGATTGAAGGTCAAATCAAGAGCTTTACCTTCAGGCTCTGCCTTCTATTCACAACAGTCTGGTACGAACACCTAAATGTTACAATTCGATTCTTGTTCCAGTTTGTTCCGTAGATAAAGCCGACAGCAAGCCGTTGCCACACGTTTGCCCTCATCAAGAACCTATTCTTCCTCGATGACGATGACCACTTTTTCTGTGGTGAGGGAGGCCCGTATTTCCATAGATGATTAGGATCTCCTTGTTTGTATGCTCTTCTGTGGGAGTCAGAGGTCAACAGACAGACACACATTCTCCAATGTGTAGCTGGGTTGAAGTTGCCAATTAATGTAATGCAAAGAAGATGCTTACAGAGTAAATAATTGGTAAGTTCTTCTATGTGATACATGTTTGCACTTGCCAGCTTACCAGGTTCTTCCGTCTGGTCGCACTAATTCCCCCTGCTGCTATCCAAGTAGATTTCACTTTGCTGCGTCAAGTTGTTAGCTAGCAATACTCAGAATGAATGCTAACATTTACTTATTACAAACAAACAGCTAGTAACTCACAGAAATGGGGTATTAGGACCCATTGTGTGCCCGTTTTAAGTTCATATGGTTCCTCGGTCTTAATGAAATGAAACATACTTGGTCAAAATAGCACAAGGATCATTTAAAACAGCACCTTTTTACACCGTCTAAAACAGCCCTCCGAAGTGACCTGTTCCTTTAGATGCTAATGAGCCGCTCCCCCGCTGTGCGATCTGTGCAGCCCACCACAGGGGGGGCTGAGTGCTGCTAGCTACGTGTAGGTAGCAGGTTACACTTGGTCCGAGGTTTGCAAAAACCAATTGTTGTGCTTTGGCAAATATCGTATTGTAGCGACTGTTCTGTGCGTCACGTCATCCCCCTCACTTCGCCCAGTCATGGAGTGACTGTGCATGCTAGGCCCGTGGCGGCCAGTGATTGGGGGAGATCAGGGGAGGTGGGTGTTGTGGGCTACAACATGTTGTGTGTTGTTGTTGCGTGTTGTTGTTGCGTGTTGTGGGCTAGTCAGGTAGCCAACAGAGTAAGTGGCGTATAGAGACGGGGGTCTTCTCACTGTTCCAGAACCAGAGTAAAAGGATTCCTCGGCGTACGGCCTTTCCTCCGTGTTGTGAGGGAGCCGCTACAGTCTCCGTAGGGAGTGGAGGCGCGGGTGGAGGCCACCATCTCATTGTGACGAGGGAACGATGAGGAAGTTCATTCCAGTCACTCCAGCCTGACGTTTCTGACCTACAAGAACCACAACAAACCGCAGGGGTTGTTTTTGGGTCGGCAGACATGCCAGATACACAGATTAACAAAGTGTAATTTTCATAATGTGTCCCCTTTAAAGTAAAAGCACTATTATGAAGCCAAATCCAGGTCAGACGTTTTGATCATCTGAAAAACCAAGTGTGAAAGGTTTTGGTCTTAAACATACAAAAATACAATAATGTATTAAAATGTGGAAAAGAAGCATTTTTGGTGTTGAAAATAGTTTTTTGGACTCAAATATTTGATTTCATTCTTCATGTACATATGTGTTTTTATATGAGCTGTATTACATTTTTGGTTGCAGACACTAAAATGGAAATCATCCAACATCAGGTTTTCAGCTCAGTAGCTGGCGGCTCTGGCGGCACCTTCAGCAATAGAAATTCTCCCAATTTAATTTTGAGCACTTATAAGAATCTGTATTTTGTCTACACAGTTTATTGTAGACTACAACAGCTGCGGATAAACTTCCCAAAAAAAATAAAAATAAAATATCTCTAGTGAGGCACACGGATTGCAAAAAATAACAGACGACCAGCCATTGAAATGAATGTGGATGAACCCGATATCAGTGTGAACAGTCTGCTGACTGCACGGCAGAGACCAGTAGTCTCCAGTAGCATGCTAGCTGCACATGGCGGCGTCGCAGACAGCCATGTGCAGCTAGCATGCCAATGAGGCCGTCACTCCTAATCAGGAGTCAACAGGAGCCAATCTGGAGCAATTAGAGGCAAAGTCACAGCAGCAGCCAGCCCTCCTCATGCACACAGCGTGAAGCCGCTCACACGGATCAAAACGTCACCCTGATGACTTGTTTATACTGATTCATTGGTCCCCTTCTCACATCTACAAGTTATGAAGCACATATTTTGTCTGAAAGTAAAAACCTGAACAAGTAGCACACTACAAGAAATGGGAGATAAATGTCTTTTGTCTGCATCTGAAAGTTTAATAAAACAGTGAGCCGGGCTGAGTATGAATTGCCTCCTCTTTGCAGTGTGAAAACATGCAACAACAATCGCTTTCAAATAATTTAAGTCAACGAAAAAAATGAATGAAATGGGTTCAGCTGCATATGTAAAATAAAACATGATTTATATCAGTCATGGTGGAAAGTAAGCTCGACTTTTACATAGTGGAACAGATCATTTAATTGAGATTTAAGTGACTGCATTTGCCTTCGGTGACATCATATCTCGTTTTATGAGAACTTTCTAGTAGGCCAATTATTAATAGGGCTGTCAATAGATTAAAAACTAAGTAATCCAACATTTTAAATGTATTAATCTCAATCAATGGCGATTAATGAATGTTGTTTATATTGAATGTTTGTTTTTCTTCAAAAGACTAAATTACTGAGTAATCACACCAGCAGCTATTTTGGATTTAGTCTTTAGATGAAAATGTATATTAGTTTTAGTCACATTTAGTCATTTTAATCCTTCTTAGTTTTAGTCGACGAAAACTAGACTAAAATGTAATTAGTTTTAGTCACATTTAACAGCCATATTAAACTCCTTTTCTTCCCTCCTCAGGCCCAGGGACCCCCTGTGTTGTGTCTACAGCTGCATAATAGTCTAGCTTGCAGTACTTGGTTGTCCATCAGATGTCCCTCCTAGGACAGGTCTATAGATGTCCCTCCTAGGACAGGCCTATACATGTCCCTCCTAGGACAGGTCCATCAGATGTCCCTCCTAGGACAGGTCTATGGATGTCCCTCCTTGGACAGGTCTATGGATGTCCCTCCTAGGACAGGTCCATCAGATGTCCCTCCTAGGACAGGTCTATGGATGTCCCTCCTAGGACAGGCCTATAGATGTCCCTCCTAGGACAGGTCTATAGATGTCCCTCCTAGGACAGGTCTATAGATGTCCCTCCTAGGACAGGCCTATAGATGTCCCTCCTAGGACAGGTCTATAGCAGGTCGGCAAACTTTTTGACCCGTGGGCCACAGTGGGTTGTAAAATGTGACGGAGGAGCCGGGCCAAGAACAAATGGTTGAAGTGTTTGTGTGAGCTGATATAAATGACATGTGAAAAATCATTACATGAAAGGATTTGGATTTTAACAAATAGCAAAGTATTTATTTGCAAGGCAATTTAACAAATTGGCAAAGGTGTAACAACTAGTGTTGCACGGTGTACCGGTACTAGAAAGGTACTGCGGTACCCATACGTCGAAAACAATACGGTTTTGAATATTTTTAGTACCGGTACTTTAAAAAAAGCAGCAATTGGAGCTCACTCACTGTTCCGCTCCGTGTCGGGCTGCCTGCACACATCGACTGAACAGCTCTCACATGCGAGTTATCAGGGGAGACGCGCCCTCACGTAGCAGACTGCTCACCCATATACAGCCTAACACCATTAGCCTTAGCCTAGCTTAGCTCGGGTGACCAGATATCCTCTTTTACCCGGACACATTTTTTAGGTCTCGAAAAGAGGAAATGTCCGGGTATAAGAGGATCTGAAGACTAGAAGAGCACTATACAAGTACAGTCCATTCACCAACTGGCCTGCAAATGACCTTTTTTTTGACGTGTAAGAAAAAAGTCACAACTCTGGTTCTAAATCTCTGATTCAAAAGCTCACCCAGAAAGGCCTGCAGGTACTTTAAGACCATTCTGTTCCAGTCAAAGAGAGACCTTGCCAACTGTCCA